ATTCATATGTAAGAACATTTATGTTCGTCCTGAAACGTATTTTTGTTAACCCTCTTGTTATTTTACACCTAGTTCCACATCCATGCATAAACGCTTCTTTTATATTCTGGACTGATTTATGTATCGACATTTCTTCAGATCTAGACAAAAGTGACTACTTTTGGTGTCCTGCCATCGTACCAAAGCTGCGTCTTCTTGTGTATGGTTTTTCTGCGTCTTCTATGGTTGTCCCGTCTCTTAGTTCATGTTTTGAATGTATTGTAAGATTGGATATCAAATAGCATCATGTCAGACTCTGCAACTTTCCTTCAGTTATTTGTTTCAATTATATGTCATTGTGGATGGTTTGTCAGAATCTATGGTTTGTTCGTTTTTCTGTTTCAATTATATGTCATGGTCTCCTTTGTTTGATATGGACAAGAATTTATGACCGAAATGACGTAAAAATAGCGACGAATTTTGCGACGAATTTGCGATGAAATTTGCGACGAATTTTGCGACGGTTCGTCGCAAATTTTGCGACGAAATATTTGCGACGAATTTTGCGACGGATTGTATTCGTGGCTAATTTGCGACTAATTTTGCGACGAATTTTTTGACGAATTTTGCGACGAAATTTGCGACGAAATTTTTGCGAATTTGCGAATTTGCGACGAATTTTGCGACGGATAGCGTTCGTCGCAAATTTGCGACGAAATATTTGCGACGGATTGTATTCGTGGCTAATTTGCGACTAATTTTGCGACGAATTTATTTTCGTCGCAATTTTGTGACGAACTTTTAAATTTTCCGTCGCAAAATTTTGCGACGACCTAGTAGCGACGGAAAATTCCATCGCAAAATTTGTCGCAAATTCGATTTGCGACGGATTTTTTCAAATTTTCCGTCGCAAATTTCGTCGCTAATCTGGTGTTTTTTTGTAGTGTAACTCTACCTTTTTAATAGCCCCTCAAATCTTTTTCCAACTTCTCTAGTCGTGGATCCACACGATGCATGTAGGCACAACTAGTCTCTATCGATTCTTGAGATAGAGTAATTTTATTTGATCTCGCAATTTGGATTTCATTTCCTGTAAATTGCTTGAAAATTTTTTAAAGACACATATTGGCACGTGAATTGAAATTAGACAGTATTTTCTTGTATTAGGTTTTGAAAAGGAAGTACGGGTAACGTCACCGGTGATCCTCGTACCACGGCTCGAAATCTCGTCCGTGTACTTTCGTCTGGTTGTAAATGAACCTCGATTCCTTCTAGTGTTAGACAAGAAAGCTCACGATCCGTCCTTTGACAAATTCAGTGACATATGTTCCTTGACATTGACTTACACCATTGAAAAGTTGGTGGCATAGCTCTCTCTCTCTCTCTCTCCAATAGGAAATTTGAAGGAGTCTTGATATGGCATAGAAGTTAATCGTTAATGGTCCCCGTGCATACGAAGGTCGAGTCTAAATAGTTATCCAAATCCTCGTATCTTAGAAAATCTACGTGAGATTCTCTCTCTCCAATAGGAAATTTGAAGGAGTCTTGATATGGCATAGAAGTTAATCGTTAGTGGTCCCTGTGTACACGAAGGTCGAGTCTAAATAGTTGTCCAAACACTCGTATCTTAAAAAATCTACGTGAGATTCTTCTGACTAGGCCTGAACTTGGTTCGAGTCCAACCAGTTCGAGCCGAACTTTCTAAATAGCTTTGCCCAAGCCTGTCCATTATCGCCCTTTAGGCCAATTTGACTCGGCTTTGCCTGTGAACAGCTACATCAATGATCGGGTTTAATATGATATGTATTTAGTCTGTTCATGTAAGCATTCAAAAGTTGAACTTTGGATGTTGGTATGACAGCTCAATAGAAAAGACTAATGGTGAGCATTTATGAAAAGTACGGCGGTCGTGCCTTTCAGATTGGTAAATAGAGTTATTACTAATTCTCTTGTTTAAAGAGATCAAGGTTCTAAATCACTCATTATTCTACTTAAAAGAATCGACATTATTATTGATAACCATTGCATAGCCATTCGGAGAAGAGTTGAGATACATACAATTGTGCGAGCTAAACTAACAACATGAAGAAGTCAAGTTGAGCGGGATGACACTCAATTTACCGTCGAGAAGATGGATCTAAGGAGTGGAAGTCGATCCATTACTATCATTGAAGTCTGCTGCCAACCTTGCCGTCCTAGGAGCTGCCTTAAATAAAAGGTTTTGCGCTCAACTAGTTCTGTGAACAGCCAACCATAGCACTATAAAAATTTGGCCAGGTTCGATTTATGGTCAGCAAATGTCATACACTTGAGTGGCAAAGGAAAGCGAGAACGTACCTGTTTTTCTAGGTGTATTCGGACATACGATTCCCGCCCTAGGAGCTGCCTTAAGTAAAAAGGTTTTGCGCTCAACTAGTTCTATGAATAGCCAACCATAGCACTATAAAAATTTGGCCAGGTTTGATTTATGGTCAGCGAATGTCGTACACTTAAGTGGCAAAGGAAAGCGAGAACGTACCTGTTTTTCTAAGCGTATTCGGACATATGATTCCCGCCCTAGGAGTCGCCTTAAATAAAAGGTTTTGCACTCAACTGATCCTATGAACAACCAACCATTGCACTATAAAAATTTGGCCACGTTTGATTTATGGTGAGCGAATGTCATACACTTGAGCGGCAAAGGAAAACGAGAATGTACCTGTTTTTCTAGGCGTATTCAGACATATGATTCCTGCCCTAGGAGCTTCCTTAAACAAAAGGTTTTGTGCTCAACTAGTTCTATGAATAGCCAACCACATCACTATAAAAATTTGGCCAGGTTCGATTTATGGTTAGCGAATGTCGTATACTTGAGTGGCAAAGGAAAGCGAGAATGTACTTATTTTTCTAGGCGTATTGGGACATATAATTCCTGCCCTAGAAGATGCCTTAAATAATAGGTTTTGCGCTCAATTAGTCCTATGAACGGCCAACCATAGCACTATAAAAATTTGGCCAGGTTCGATTTATGGTCAGCGCATGTCACACACTTGAGCAGCAAAAGAAAACGAGAACGCACCTGTTTTTCTAGGCGTATTCAAACATACGAATTCCGCCCTATGAGCTGCCTTAATAAAATGTTTTGCGCTCAACCAGTTCTATGAACAGCCAACCATATCATTATAAAAATTTGGCCAGGTTCGATTTATGGTCGGCGAATACCGTACACTTGAGTGGCAAAGGAAAGCGAGACCATATCCGTTTTTCCAAGGCGTATTCAGACATATGATTCTCGCAAAAGATCAAGTTGGCGAAACAAAAAAATATATGGGTGATTTTAGACATAATGAAATAGTGGTGCCCACAAAATCTGAAAGTTCATTATTATCTAATATTATATTTCCATTGTCGAGCATCGAATATGGGCATTGCCAATTGGTGCTAGCTCAGTCTAAAATTAGGTCAAGAAGCAAGCGTGCGTGGGAAGCACTCGCCCCGCATTGGTGCTCTTTCCGGAATCAGTCACTCCTAAAGTTGGTAGAGATAAGGTGGTCCAATTGACTTTGCCCATTTAGAAATCTGGTCCTACTAAATTATAATTTCTATGGTTCCAAAACAATTTTTTGTTGTGCAAAAGGACAGGAGATAACTCCCATCTTGGTGATATAATCTTTATCTTTTCCCAATTCTTTCTTTTATTATAATGTTGGATGACGTTGATGGTCACCGATCAGGACCGCGAACGAATGGGTCGACAGTCATGCAATTGCGTGTGGCCTTAAACAAGCCTAACAATGCCACGTTAATAGCTCCGAGAGTAGGTCCATGATGGTGTTTAATTGTTTAATTGGGGATCTAATCTAAAATCAAGATGGGGACATGACAAAACTGTACTATTAATATATGTCCGGATTAACTTTTACTTTTTCGCGTTTTGCTTTCTCGAAAGCTCGTGGGGTACGCATTTTGACTTTTGCTGATTGAAAGTGCTTCAAACTTTCATAATATATTAATGTTAGGCGTATAAATTCTCGTACGCGTGTTTTGTAACCTTTTGAAATTAAGATAGTATTTCAAGTTTGGGCGAGAAAGCCAAAAATTACTTTTAAATTTCGTTATTCCGATTAGGGTGGAAAAAAAAATAATCTCAATGATTTCACCGGAAATGTAATTGAGATTAAAAAAAAATTGCTAGGCTAGGAAAATTGTAGCATACATCACTTCTATAAAGAAAACTCTACACAATCGGGTTTAATTCGCATTAAATTAAGGGTAGATAAGGTCGATCGTGGAAAAACGTATTTACACCGGCGGTGTATGCCCGATTTACTCAAATTCTGACCAAATAAACATGAGAAACAGGAGTAATATTGTTGAATGGGGCACCCCGATGGCTTCTAATTTTCCCTTCTTCTTTTTTCATGATAAATTCTCAAGTAGTGCAGATTCAAAGATGGGCATTTGGTCTTGAGTTTGTGATCCAATCCACAAGTCAAAGAAAATCACAACTTGAGGAGAGGCGTGTGCAACGAGAGCAGAAAAGGCAGAAAGGACAGAATCAGGAATCAGACCGAAGGAATATCTTCTGCGACTTTTGATTCTTGAAAAGCGACCCAATCGTTCAACACCATCATGCCATTTTCCAATCACATGCTTTTCAAGTTTATGTCATTTCTCATCTGCCTTTGAATAAAGAGGGCTACAAGAAAAATCAGCAGAAAGAAGAGGACCATCATGTCGTTCTCTAACCAGTTAGGTCTTCACAATAATTTACAGTAGGGAAACAGATGAAGGAGGGCAAAATATACCAAGCATCTCATATCACCTTGCTCACAGAGAGAGAGGTCCTATGGAAAGGGTTTAAACATGTGCTGTTCTTTTATTGCAGGAGCATACACCAGTAGCAAAATTAACATAGAATAATGTCTACAGATGGCTGGCAAGAAAAAATGTCTATCGACAATATGTAGGGCTAAAATGAGAGAGAGAGAGAGAGAGAGAGAGAGAGAGAGAGAGAGAGAGAGAGAGAGAGAGGTCCTATGGAAAGGGTTTAAACATGTGCTGTTCTTTTATTGCAGGAGCATACACCAGTAGCAAAATTAACATAGAATAATGTCTACAGATGGCTGGCAAGAAAAAATGTCTATCGACAATATGTAGGGCTAAAATGAGATAGACAAGACCAAAAGCTTTCACCTAGAGAACAGCTAAAGCGAGACTCAACAATTCAAAAACTCAATTGGCCGGAGGGATGGAAAAACAATCAAGAATACCCAAACGGTAGGCGACTCATAGAGGCTGTGTCGAGCAGTGATCAGTGCGAAGACATAAACCGTGAAAAACCAGTAGGAGTCCAAGCGTTTGGGCACCATTATGCCAATAAGGATGTTGATTCTCAATTCATGTTGTGAGGCCCCCTAAGAATTTGAGTTTTTCGACACGATATCAAAATGCCTTGCCGACATCAACAAGATGACAGCTAACTTATAGCAGAAGTCTCTCAACCAACTTGTCGACTAAAGGCAAAGTCTAATAGATTGGCGCATGACAGCAGGTCATACCATATATGTCATCCCAACTCGGATGATATTCATGTGAGGCGCGCTCATATTTGCTGCTCCTGCTCTACAATTTCGCCTCATGAATCCATAGAAGTAGTTTATAGCAAGTTTCTTGATAAACCAAGATTCTTTCCTCGCCCTCACATCCCCGTGAGCAAGCAAATAAGTAAAACCCGAATCCATGGCTTCTCTTAGAGCTGAAAGCTCATAGTCTAAGCTCGGGTCTTCATCCGAAGCCATGGCACTAGATGGCAAAATCGATACACCATCTTCTGAGGTCGAAGTGCCCGCCTCCTCCAGTCTCTGCGCCTGCATGAGTGGGACTCTGAGCTCTTCCATTCCATCTCCGCTCCGAGTTCCGGAGCCCCTGGACCCCACTGACATACTGTCAAACTCCATCTGTAGATTGCTCTCTAGAGCCAGATCTTCAGCCTCCCTTCTCAAAAACTTCTCAAGGCTTTCAGCTAGAAGCTGCTCAAACGCATGGTGATCTTCCTTCCTTACATCTTTATAACCATATCGGGCTACACAACGGAACATGTGGTAGTCTTTAGGGCAAACTCTTCGAAATAGGAACCTTTCCTCTTGAGGAACCACAGGCACAGGCACATACTTGATGCACACGAAGACTATAGTGGAGTGGATTGCTGGTAGGCTCAACAAGAACTGTCCGAAAATGGATGGAATGCCTTGAACAAGCTCGTTGTAAAGCAAGCCAATACCCGGTACTCTTAGGGTGCCAAGGCTTGACCCAAGTTCAAGCATGAAATCCATGGATATTTTTTCCCTGACCTCACTCCGGTACTTCAACACACTCCCATAGTTCCAAATGTACATCACGCAGAGGAAGCATGAAGCAAAGACGAGTGGGAGCCAACCACCTTCCATAACTTTTGATAGAACCGCACATAAATAAATGAACTCCACTGATCCAAATATCAGGGGGAAGCATAGAGCGAGAAACAGATTTGTCTGCCAGATCAGAAGCATCACCAGTGTCACCAAGATCGTGCTCACCATCATGACACCTACTTCAGCTATGCCTACAAGTTCATAAATCGCATTAGTAACTGAGTAAGATCCTTTCCTAGCTAGCATAAAGTAACCGCAAGAATTGTTGTAAAAACTAGCCAATATGCAGGTAAACAGGTTTTCCTATACAGCTTGACAGAGAAAAAGGCAATTTTAAGGTTTGGGGATGTCATGTCCCAAAGACGGACGATGAAACAATTGTCAACAGTACATTCATCAGTTTTAAGAAGATTATGAGAGGCAGCAACAAAGCAATGATGCAAACACAGCTAGCAAGACAGATTTTGTTACAGGTAACTAGCACAGGAAATTGAGAATGCAATAAAACAATAATTAGGGAAAGATGAGTACAACATGAAACTCCCATGAGCTCTCATCATTCTCTAGGCGCACATATTAGCAAGTTATGGCAAGCAGAAAGAGAAGTAAATAGAGAAAGATGCTTAACCATATGCATTTGCAATGTCCGTGGTGCTCTGAAATATCGACACAACCACTATGCACATAATCATCAAGAACCAATTGATCACGGGGATGTAAATTTGTCCCATTCGCCTCTTTGAGGTGTGGACTATCTTCAGCCTCGGGAAGCATCCAAGAGCCATAGATTGCTTAACACATGAAAATGTAGCGGATATCATTGCTTGACTGGCGATCATGGCAGCAAAAGTGGCAATCACAAAGACTGGCCAGAAAAGACTATCTGCATTTTATAAGCACAAAAGAGCACTCAAAATTCAAACACAGCTAAGCAGAAGCCTAAAGCATGATTATCCTCTGTGTCGGAAGTGTCACCTGGCACAGAGTCGTAGAAAATTCTTTCAGCTGAATTTGGGTACTTCATTAGGTAGGCAGCTTGGCCCAAGTAAGCCAAGAGGATGCAGGGAAACACCACAGATGTGAAGGCAATCTATAAAAAAATTGGTACATTAGGTACAAGTCTTTATTAAGATAAACCGCGATTGGTAAATGGCATGAGATATTGTGTAGTCCAAAAGAAAACCTGTATAGATCGCACTGAGAAATGGCCCAAATCAGCAAACATTGCCTCAGATCCTGGAAAAAAATTCACACGAGCTTAGTCTTTTTTCCCTTATACCTTTTGTCTTATTGCTGAATAAAGACAGATCTCTCAAACAATGTGATCTAGTACACCGGAAACGTACAAGAATGTAGAGTAAATAAAATCAAAAACAAAAGCTGATATACTATGACTACACATAATCTAAGTGAAGGCCAAAATAAACTAGCAGTCTTTTATTTTTGATACCTCATAGGGAGAGTGTTGTATTAAAGCCCTGTGGGTGGCAAACATAGCAGTGTTAGCTAAGGAACTTGGCAGATCGCTCAACCACTTGCATCTAGACTGTTTCACAAAACTAACCAAATGGACCATTTGTTTCGTTCCGTTTTTTTTTTGTCTCCTTCTAACTACATAGAGGTATCCAACAAAGGAAGGGAGATGGATGCCCCGAGAGTGTGGTTACGGCACTTAAACAACTGAGGAGTTAGGCCTCATCCTCAGGGGACCATCCAGAAAATGTTCCAGTTGAAGATACATTTCTTTCTACAGCAAGACTCTGCGCACTTAAAACTTTCCTTTACTGTTATTTAAGCTAAAGAAACTTAAACCAATTATATTGCTTGCTCTCTAGGAAAGTTTGAATTAATGATTGCACAGAAATTGCTAGCTAAGATCTACTAGATTGGAAGGAACAAGGAAACTGAAATGGGCATATTAAGTCTGAAATAGTTCTCTTAGTTTAGCAGCTCATATGTACCTGTAATACAGAGAACACAACCTCCGAGTGCTGACCATGCAGCTCCACTGTTATCTTTAAAGAAGAAATAAATGTAAGCAGGATTCACTGCCCTTAAGACTGATACATCATGCTTTACAAGGTTGTAAATTCCAATAGATCCCAGGGAAAAGAACCACAAAGCAAGAATAGGAGCAAATAAGAAGCCCACTTTGCCAGTCCCGAATCGTTGTATGCTGAATAGTGCCACTAGTATCACAATTGAGACAACAACCACAGCACCTGCGGAACGATCATTGCAAACTGTCATTATCGATCATCTGCCAGATCTCTAGAGAAATCTAAAAAACAAAGGATGTAAGATGAGTCCCCTAAATTTCATACACATTTAAGAATCTGCTTGTCATGATTGTCTGTTGTTTGAATTAAAAAGAGTTCTAACCACTAAATGGAATTCTTTTGGCAATCAAGCATAATTTTCTGAAAGCATTAAATGGAAATCTTTAGGGGATCAATCATAATTTTTTTGAAACTATCAAATCATGCAAGATGGGACAAAGAGAGCTCCTTTTCAAGGGATTATATCAAGTAAACTTGGCAAACAATCTCAGCCTAGGCTCCCTCGGGTCTGTCCATAGAAATTCATAATGAGATCTTGTAGCAACAATCCCATTCTTCACTAACAGAGGATGTCTGCTACTCAATCCTTTTCCCAATTTCAGAGACTTTCACGAATAGAAGTTTAGAGATGTAAACAAAAGTACCCACCTGTTCCAAATCCTTCTAATTCACCCTGCAGCCCACTCACAGCAGACATCACTGCAATAAAGATGGTATCCTAATCAGATATTTCAGTCAGTATGGTCTCAAGTGCATGTGTAGAAATATAAGGATAAAATGTCGCCTAATCATGTAACCAAAACTTAATAAATTTAATCTACAAGTAACCATGAAAGTAAACATGAAATTTTTAAAACAAACTTGTACTTGTCAAAATCAAGATTCAAATTGCTCCAAACTTGTGACTTGCAAGCTGTGGATTCCGTATTAAGATTTATTGAATAATTACCAGTCCATGAATATTTGTGGACAAAAAATGATGCATCACAAGATCATGTGTTTCAAGCTAAAATGGAACAATGATATCATGCAATCAATACAGGGGCAACTTCTCAAAGTAAGTGCTAGGGGTCTCTACTTATTAAGTTATAACTGTCCTCTATTCTTCTTGACTGAAGAGGTCAAATAAACTGGAGCCCATTCTGCAAGATCTAGTTGTAGATAGGCCATTTTCCCCATCACGAACATTGACTGACATATATTTTTGAATCTTCATATAACAGAATCTAAAATTTTGATGTGAAGGATGCACCTGGTCGATCTATTTTCCTACTTTTTGTCCTCTATATTAAGCATCTCATGTCTGTCTACTGATTCGATGTTGAATATTATGACTGTCTTCACTAGAACCAGAACACGAATAAATCAGATGTTACATTTTAAAAAAGTAAGTCGGTTCCAAAATTGCCTATCCACATGTAGGCTTCATGTAATTAACCCTATAAAATCTTTATACAACAAATGACAGAAAGGCATGTGAATTTCGCAAATTGTGAGGTGCTAAGGGAATCATGTCTTCAAATTTACATTGCAGAGTGCCAGATATTTTGAGGGAAGACACTTTTGAGAAACTCTTTCTGTGATAGCACATTTTTAAGAACTGAAACAATGGGAAGAGCTCAACAAAATCTTCTTGTTTGAAGAATTTAAGGAGAAAAGCATCCATTTTCCCTTGTATACAGAATTCGATTGAAAATAAAGCTAGATTAATAATAGAATGAGAAATTATGAAATGAGCAGAATAGGAGGAATGGTCTTGCTGCTAGTTTTAGATAACACAAGCATTCTCAAGCACTTTGGATTCCGACAGGCCATGACAAAGTTGGGCAGAGTGAAACAGCCAAGCAATTGTAGTAATGGCTGTTATTTCGCAGAATATATCCTGCTCAAATAAGCTGTTGATGATGCATGATCAATGGCTATCGCAGACCTAATCCTTCAACTCATAAGTGAATGTCATACCTGATATTGCTGGGGTGAGAATGCCATCTCCTATAATCATGGAAGTTCCCATTAGAACCAAAAGCAAGAGGAGGGTTTTTAATGATGATCTGTTTTCAAGAGTTTCTTTTATGTTCAAGGCCCTCTCTAGCTCAGGGGTTGGCAGTTTAAGCCTGAAACTTGAGATTTGCTCATCGGCAGGTTGACGATTGGGCAACATATTTACATTAGCATATCTGCAGATTAAAGAGTATAGGGCAAAAGTACCTCCTACAATAAAGTAAGGACAAAGAAGTCCGTGAGGGAAACTATTTGCAATCAAACGGTTGGAGAAGAAACAACTCAACAATCAAAGTCGCTTTACCTTCCCCATTATCATTGGCTTTCAGCACGACAAAAACGTATTTGGCTAAGGGAATGAGAGCGATGGTGTACATGACCAACGATAAAGCACCCAAGACGTCAACATCGGACTTGATGGTCACCTTGCTGAATACATCAGCAAACACATATAAAGGACTTGTGCCCATGTCTCCATAAACGACGCCAAGTGTTTGAAATGCCAAGGCAAGAGTTTGCCAAACAGAAGGGTCCTGATTCGTTGAAGCAACAGAGTTCAGTAAAGAATAATTGCAATGGGCTCTTCTCCTCACTGATTGGTATAATCAGCACATACATACATGCTCGAACAGCGTGTACAGACAGCAAGCTTAGATTATGCTATGAGCATCTGTAGATGTGCAATAGTCAGCAGGCTACAGCTAACAAATGAGATATAGCCGTAGTTCCATTTGGAGCTTATCGGCGGTGCCTCTGGCTCTCGCAATTCACTCAACAAGAGACTCTCTTGCTCAAGTTGATGATTCTTGGATAACAACCCGTTTTTGCCAAAAAGCCACACTAATCAAACTGCTTCTAAGGGTGCAAGCTCTAATCACAGACAATTGCAAGCCACCTCAATTAACATATCACATACTAAGCATAAAGATGAAATCTTTTCCCTAGATCACAAACCATCCCACCCGCCAGAGAAAGGAGGACAAGAACACTCTGATTAATTGCAGGTTTATTCACGACACAAATTGCAGGACAAGTCAAGTGAATTAGCGGGGCATATCTCGCTCTTGGAAAAAAACACAAGAGGTCGAACTACATGAATGCATTGACCTTAGGGTGATGCCCATGAGCACCGGCAATCTCCATGGCCTCCACATCGAAGGAGTCGACCCGCTTGGGCTTCTTCACGAGCCGCCTTCTCATGGTACCATGACCTTGGCCGTCCCTTGACTCGTTCTCCCCGAGCCAACCCCAGGATGCCGACTCCGAATCCACCTCATTCCCATCGACCCACCTCGATCCGTCACCACCACTCGCACTGCTCCCCAACCCCGCGCTGCTCTCTTCAATCCCATCCTCTTCTTCCATTTTGCCCCCCCCTCGCAGATTCTCCTCAAACCCCGAAATGCAAGAAGACTCACACCCAGTTGAAAGAGCCGCTTAAAACGTGCAACCCCCGCTCAAATCCTCGATACCCATCAGCCAAGAGACCTCGACAGAAGCTGCCACGCACAGGGCAACCCTGTTTTTTTTTTTTTTCGATAGTCCAATCAGCGCGGTTCTGCGGCGGGGTGATAACCCTTTTCTCGGATATTCCTTGTTCTTGGAGCGCGTCTCGTGATCCTTTGCCGAAGGGTGGCGAAGACAGACGGGCGACAATCAACAGCGACCTGAGCTCATGGAAACCGGAGTTGAATCCAACAACACCTGCACTTCCAATTTCTCACGGCGAAGCAAAAGGGTGCCCAAGAAAAGGACAAAGGCATCATTATTTAGATGCAGCCAGGCAGCAAGCGTCGACAGGTGGCGTGCGCGTGCGGCGTCTCATCTCCTGCTTCGCCCACCCATGTGGGCGGACTGACGAGAGAATGCGAAACACAATTTCATCGTGCGGCGCTGCCTTAGATCTCCCTCCTGTTGGTCTCCCTCGTGCTTGGATTCGCGGCGTCGTACGGAGGAGCGGATCCCCCCGTTTGTTACAAAGGGTATGGAGATCCAAGAAACTACGAAGATCCAATCTTTCTTTGGATCACCAACCTCGTTATTACAGGAATCTTGCAGAATACCAAATTGTCTATTTCTCGTGGTACTCACGAATATACCCTTAAATCCTCCCCTTCGAGGCTTGGTTCGGTTACCTCGATCTTCTGAGCCAGCTCGCAACATGCGCAATTGTCTAAATCTGACCGAAGTAACAAACATATCACACGGACCATATGATTTGGTTTGTCATGCCAAGTCGGCCTAGACATGTTAAACGGGTGGGTCGGGTCGGGTCGGGTTTGGGTCTGGATCGGGTCATAAATGGTCCGACCTAAATTGACCCATTAACCCGTTTATGACCCATTTATTCATAGTGTAAATATCCCGACTCATACTCGACCCGACCCATACCCGACCCGACCTATATTGCTAAAACACTTTTATATTTAACATAATCTAGGAATACTCGTTTCTTATGATTTTTTTAAAAAAATTATACTGCTAAAATATTTTATGCAATACAAAGCTAGTGAAATTTTTTTATAATTTTGTTTAAATTGAGGTTCTGTTTGTTTTACGAAAAATGAGACATTTCTAGAAAATATTTTTCATAAAGTCATTATCCAAGAAAATAAAAAAAATTTAATATTTTTTTATTTTTTAAATCGAATTTTTAATTAATTTTTAATTAATTTTTTTCCTTTATTTTTGGCTGATCGTCGGCCGCCGTGGCCGGTGACCGACCACAGGCGAGGCTCTAGCCTCGCTGATCTGGCGAGACTCGAGCTCGGCCGAGGCCGGCGAGCTCGAGTCTCGCTAGATCGGCGAGGCTAGAGCCTCGCCACAGGTCGGCGAGGCTGGAGCCTCGCCGGGATCGGGCGAGCCTCAAGGTCGCCGGAATCGGGCGAGCTCGAGCTTCGCCGGCCTCCGGCGAGGTCGTCCCGCCCCGGTGGCCGTCGCCGTGGCCGACCACTGGCCGAAATAAAAAAAAAAGAAAAAGAAAGAAGAGAAAAGAAAAAAGAAAAAACAAAAGAAAAAGAGAAAAAAAAATAAATTTCTATTTTTTTTAAATATTTTTGTAAAGAGGGAGAAAGTGTGTGGATGGGTAAAGTAGGTGGGTTGGACATGGGTTCCAAACTCAACCCATTTAGACCCATTTATCTTTAAGCTTTAAAATTTAAAACCCATTTAAGGTTGACTCTTTAAAATTAAAGTGACTCATATATGACCCATTTATTTTTAAATGGGTCATATATGGGTTTAAGACCCATTTTGACACCTCTAGCCGTGACCAACGTACGGTGCCGAGGTGATCAATACTCTTCTTTTTTAAATTGGTCGTTATGGGTTCGATAAAATGTTTAGGCATAAAATTGTCGTTTGTTAATAAAAATATTTGTCAATTATTTCAAGCGATATAAACGATTGTTTTAAAGCAAAATATCTCTCGAATCGTTCATCTTTCGCGAAACGAACGGAGCCTAGAACTCAACCATTTATGCATCGTGCGATAGGACAATAAGCACTATAAGCAGCGATCACCTATGATCCTCATAGAAATCGAGGCTAAAGCCAAAATGGATATTGGGTGCGCATGAATACCATTCTGTGCCCGGGCGCTATTTCTAAACAGAAATGATTTATTTTGATTCTATGCCCGGAAACAATTTCTGAGTATTTGAAGGTGTTTGATAAACTGTCCAAAATTTCTATTCCTAGAGTAGAAAAGAACAGAAATGCGTTTGGTAACTACACAAAATTTCTGTTCCCAAATAATATTTTAATAATATTTTGAATTGTTTAATTTTTTTTTTCTTTCTACTTTCTTCTTTGGCCATGGCCGGCGGAGGCGAGGGTCGCCCTCACCGGCGAGGGCGAGGGCTGGACCCTCGCTGCCTGGGCGAGGCGGCCTTGCCCAGAGACAGCGAGGCTCGGCCTCGCCCAGATCTGGCGAGGTCGAGCCTCGCCGTCGCGACCCAAGGCAAGGTCGGCCGCGGGTGGGTCGCGACGGCGAGGCTCGGCCTCGCCAGATCTGGCGGCCGAGGCCTCGCCGTCTCGGGCTAGGCCGACCTCGCCGCATCGCGACGGACGGCGAGGCTCGGCCTCGCTCGATCTGGGTGAGGCCGCCTCGCCCGGGCGGCGAGGGTCCGGCCCTCGCCCTCGCCGGTGAGGGCGACCCTCGCCTCCGCCGTCGCGACGGACGGCGAGGCTCGGCCTCGCTCGATCCCGGGTGAGGCCGCCTCGCCCAGGCGCGAGTCCGGCCCTCGCCCTCGCCGGTGAGGGCGACCCTCGCCTCCGCCGGCGGCCGGCGAGGGCCGTGACGCCCTCGCCGGCCCTGGGCTGTGGCCGACCCAGCCGAGGGATGAACAACACAAAAATAAGAAAAGAAAAAAAAGAAAAAGAAAAAGAAAACTGATTCTCAAAATTGTGACGAGAAATAAGAAGCAACTTTTTTTTACTTCTTGCTTCTCTTCCAAAACTGTTTCTCGGTATAAATTTTTGCAAAAATGTGCCAAGTAACAAAAAATTTACCAAACGCATTTCTGTTCACAAACTATTTCTGGGAACAAAAGAACAGAAATTTTCACTATTTGGCACGTTACCAAACGGGCCCTAAAAGACTTGTTTTGACGAGTCATATTGCTTGTAACATCGTTTCGCGCGTTCAGTTAATGCTTTCTCGCCTCTGAAGCTGCAGGCATCAAACCCATTTTTAAGAATTTTTTCTGGGTCGAAACCCATTTTTAAGATTTTTTTTGTTTTGGTTCTAAACCCATTTTTGAGATCGAAAAGTTGTTTTGTGAACCACCATTGCTCGTCGGTCAAATTTTGGTCAACCCTAGATCGATGGCTTGTTTTTCGGGGGAAAGTAGGGCAAAATTTGAAATGGCCACGAACGATCCAAGAGGGGGGGTGGCCGCTAGTATTACGGGGTTGATTGAAACAGCATTTGAAATTTGAATAGGTAGGATAACGACTGAACAAGATGCAAGTATGGCACTTGGGCCTTGCGTCGATATCTCCTTCGTCCGGCTTCGCGTCGACTCGGGTCGGGTTTTCATTCAGATCGTAGTGCTTGCAAACTCCAATTTCATCCGATATGTTCGAAATTTGGGCTTTGCATATTTTTGGCGGAAATAAATGATTCGGAAAATTATTGTCCGAAAAAAATGATCGCCTATATTATTTGAAATAATTAGCTAATGAAAAATATTTTCATTATCGACGACAATTCATGTCTAAACATTTTCGTGAATAATAGAATTTTTTTTTTGTAAATTAATTTCTATAACCGATATAAATGATCATATTTTAGGTTTCATTTTTTGCAGGACAAACGGAGCATTAGAGATCACAGAGTTCTCAACAATGCGCTAGTCTTGAAGGCCAAAAAATTAACCGTCGGATCTTGGTGGCGAAACGGGCATCAAAAGTATTGCTTTGACGAGAAAAATTCGTTTTCGAGGTTGATTAATTGATTTCGTACAATTTCGCCTATCTGTCAATAATCGATCAACGTTTGGCCAACCCTCGACATATTATTTAGCTTTTTGAAAAGCGAGATAAAATTTTAGGTGTCAACACACGCCGCGGATAAAGAGGACGACCGAGGAACAAATTTTACATTAGTGAAACATTCTCTCGGCTAGGGTTTCTTTCCCTTACGTTAGATGTTGAACGTGGCCTGTACCTAAAAGCCCATTGGGCCTTGAGTACATCCCAAGCCCACATTCAATTGACACTGACGGATCAAGACCGAGTTGGGCCTTTCCCTCGGCCCACGTGACCCGTCATCTTCGGTTCAGCCCATCGAGATTACAAATCCTCATCGGCGCGAAATTTTGCATAGGCTAGCCGACGAGAAACGTGATGGACAAAACCAATCATTATAACGGAAGAATCGTGCGGATATTCGTGTTTTGTAATGGCGCAAAAATATGGTTGTCGTAGATATGGCGTGACCGGTCTGATAGAATGAGATGGAATCCCGAGCTAAACGGTTCTTCACATAGCAGCTTGTCGAGCTTTTCTCTGCCAATGTTTGTAATAAAAGTTCTCAGCTCGTTAGCATCTACGAACCAACTCGAATCTCATCGCGTAAAAACGTTCGAAGTCCAAAATTCGTCCGAAGCTTTGCTGAAAGGCCGTGCTGCCGACCCCGATCGCATGTTAAGGGATTACATATATGACGAGCCATATCCACATGCCACGAGAAACTATCGGATGGCTTATAGACCACGTGGACCGACGCCATCTCGATCATCGGTTACGCGGTTCCCACCGCGCGGGACGTGCGCGTAGGTAAGAACAATCACAAATTTTGGCAGCCTTTTCTTTTTTTTTTTTTTTTGGGGGGGAGCATTATCTGCTGCACCCTTTCGACTTCCTCGATGGGAAGCCATTGTGAATGCCCAACCCAGAACAAGAAGACAACCCTCTAACCAAATGTTGTGCACAAGCTCCAATGTGCCCTTTGAGCTCCACATCCGAATGCATGGAACATAAAGGGCAAAAAAACGAGCAAAAACAAAACAAGAAAAACAAGAAGAAGAAAGTTGGCCATCCAATCAGGCCCCGCCACGCACAGATATTGATGCCAAGCACGTGCGCCTCACGTGCTGGCTGCTCGACGCCTGTGAAGCAGAGAGAGGAGGTCGACAAAGAACTCCCGGCTCAACTCCCTGGCTTGCGGTACCAAGCACCATTCTCTCTTCTTCTCTACCACTTTCTAAGTATTTCAAGCATACAGATCAGAGAGAGAGAGAGAGAGAGATTGGTATTTGGCGTTTGCTATGGACCCAACAGAACTAGACAGATAATCACACGTTTCCATTGCGACCGACGTGCCGTGCGACAATCGATAATGAAAAGTTCCTTAAGAAAAGGTTTAATGTCGTCATTCTCCTTCGAACTAATTATTATGGGTGTCGTGTGTTTGAAGAATTCGTGAGATGAGCGGTACGTTCTCGTTACGTAAGGCGCCGATGGATACGGCACGTGATAGCTATCAAACTGTCTTTCTTTCCCGAGCTCCCGTCGCGACAAGGGTTCGCGTCTACTGTTAGGCCTTGCGGGGTCATCTTCTTCCTCTGCAATGCTGCTCTTTTAATTTTTCCTCATGAGAGCATGATTCTGAAAACCAATTAATTGCAGCAATTCTGGTGC